AGAGTTTGTCAGGGAATATGTCAGAGTTGTGATCTCCTGAAAAATATTCTGAAGATAAATTTGTTAGCAATGTGTCTTATCAAACATCCGGTGAGAATGCAGTCATTTCCTCCAAGATATGCATGGTTGCAAAGCAAAAATTCAATAATCCTAATACAAAATATCTCATGTCTCTTAAAAGACCTAAATAACCGAGCACCCCTGTAATACATTCGTGGTTAGGTGGGTTCTGAATTTATTTAACACGAACGTGATGTGGGTATTTTCATATAGCATATATACGAATAGGACAAATGCTTTATTATATAACCTTAACAAAATTAATATATATATATATAATATATGTAAAGTTAGTAACATAATATTCCGCTGGCGTACAGCGTGTTCTATTTTATCTTGACATTCTCTTCTTATTCTATAATCTCGACTTTGTACCACGAGAGACAGAGGCGAAAACTCGCGCCGTTCGGCTTAAAGTGCGCATGCGTGGTATTCATCAAATCATCACAACCCCCATCTGGGAGCAGAACATAATGAGCTTTTATACTCAAACAAAAATAAACTGATAAAGATCAAAATTCCATTTCCTAAGAGACGAATCCAATGTATAGCCTTAAGTTTCTAATAATTTCTTCTTCTATCCCTGAATAGGCAAAAATTTCAAAACTTCCATCATAGCATCAGCTTTGAATAGAGTTCTTACTAACAACTCGAACAAAGAATCTGAATGGGATCAGATACTCTATTCACATTCTAAGGTTAATACTCATGTACACCATATGATGTCCTAAGGAATGCTTATTGTGTTCTCGTACTCCTAGAACTGGGTTCAAACCTACGTTGCAGAGCCTTTGTTTAGAGCATAGAGAAGGGTTGGGGGGAGATAAAAGAAAAGTAACGTAAGGTTGTTTTTCTTTATGAATTTATTTTTGATCCTGACATATAAACGGGGATGATTTTAAAGGTTAGTAATGGTTTGTTAAAACTTGCAGTAGTTCTGGAAAAAATAGGAAAATACAAATGTTTAAACAATAAAAAATTTTAATAAATTTTAAAATTTCAATTGAAAATATGAATACAGTTCTTTATATCCGGTTTTTATGGCCTTTGAGACTCGTTATAACAGTTTAAAATAACATTAATTATATATGAAATCAGACAGAAACAAAAGGTTCGTTCGTTGTAAGTGCCGGGATCTTTACAGAGGGTTCCACTGAAATACTGATACAGCTCATATGACATTTACTAATAGTTCTAAAATTGCTTCGAAAAAATAGTGGAAAGTTATTTCATTTCATGAAAATGTTGAATTATTTGCAAATTAATGCAGATTTTTTAAAGCAAAACTGTGTAAGGATTATGCTAATTTTATTACCATTCAAATTCTGAGTTAAACTTCCTTTCCTATCGCTTCTTAATTTCAGCTTACCACGTCCGACCAGAACGTAGTTTTAGTATCACGTTTGGATGCAAATCGAAGAAGAGCGGTATTTAACCACGAAGTTCTACTGCCTTAGTCAGAGAGAATCAGGGAGTCTGGTTAGCACGCGCTCGCCTTTTTAGACTACGCTCGGCTGTACTTTAGGCCCTTGATAGCTTCGCAGTCAGTTAGCGTTAAGGGGCCAACTCCTTTAGAAGTTTGATAGCTTCCGCTATAGCTCTTTAGTTAAGATTAGTTTAGTTTAATTCTTATTTTCTTAAGTTCAAGCCTGAGTGTCGGCTTTATTGTACAACTCCAAGACCGAGTTCCGTTAAATCTTATTTGAATAATAAAGGGTCTTTTAACCCTTTCCAAGTTTATTTACTGTCTCACGAACTCAAGCGATTATTCTCTTACATTTTCTTAAGATTCTTCAAATTCAACTGTAGCTTAGAATTATACAGTGGGGAATCCTACAACAATTTTCGAAACTCAGTCATGAATATAAATATAATACTGTTCATAAATCTTTTAATTTAATCAAATATAAAGGATTATCATTAATCATTAATCAAATATAAAGCAATCCTACTGTCATAGCTTTGTTATTAAAGCATGTATCTTTGACCTTATAAATACAAAATTTTATTCTCGTAAACGTTAAATTTATGATTTCTAGAGTATGCAGTGCGTACAGCACGTTTAATATTTAAATAATATGAAATAATATTGATATATACTACTCAAATCAATTAAGGGAAATTAGGGTTCTGGTTATAAACTGAGGAGAAGGAAAACGTTTTGTAACTGTTATATCATGTAAGGCGTTTTAAGATTTGAAAAAAGAAAAAGAAGTAACGAACAAGAAATAATTAAATTTTATCGAAGATATTTTCCGATAAACAGAAAACACATAATTTATGCATATTTTTCAAACAAACAAGAAATAGAATGTGTAAGATACAAATGAGTTTCAATAAGAGGTAATGTTTCCTGTGACCGAAAGTAACGTCGAGCATCTATAAGACAAGAATCGATGATATTAACACTAAGGCAATGGGGTATTCTTTGCCACTCCTGTAGAAGAGAGACTTCAAAGTGCTGAATTCTTTCTGGGGGTGAGAAGTGACCAACAGCTCTTCTCCTTAGAATGTTCGAATTATGTGCATATAAATAATATGTGCATTTTTATATATTTTGTGATTTTTCTGTTGAATTGAATTTCATGAGACCTAAATGAAACGACAGTGATATTTAATGAATAACACGCACACACACCTAAGGTTTTACAAGCCATCTTACTAAGAAAGTTGATAGGATTAACTTAAAAAAGTCTCTAAAATATCAGAAAATGTGTGCCAACAGAATAGCATCCAGAATCATACACATACGCTGCCACGCTGCACAGGGGCACACACTATTACAAGCCGATCAAAATTTCCTTTATCATCCAGCTACAGAGCCGGTTTGGACAGTCGACCTGTGAGACCACGCTGCGTTGCGCTCCTGCTATTTTTCGATTTTTCAAGTGGAAATTTCACAGTGCGAAGTGCGTGTGATAAATCAAATTGTGCGTGAATGTGAGCTGAATCCAAGGATACATCGCATTAGTATGTGTGCATCGTAGTTTTCAAAAAATTTGTGAAAAAGTGTGTTCAATAATTTTGTTCACCTCATATGCCGTCCTTGTAACGGAAGGGTGCCGCCTGGCCACCACGTGGTTGCCGTACTAGGCTTAGGAAGTCCGTCGAAAAAATTCTAAGTCCAGAAATCTGTGATTTCTTTTCAAAAATCAATATCTTCGTAATTAATGCACTTAGGATTACCGGGTTTTCGGCAAATTGGTAAGTTCTTCATATACTATTATATTATATTTTCAATATGGCTATAACTGCATTATCTTCGATATTAGTATCTTAAGACTAACCTTTTCTGGAACCTAGCTAAAATCTGGACCCAAATAAACTTAATTTTCTGATTGCTGTCTGAAACTTTATAAAATATGCTAGTAACACCAAAGGGTCTGTTCATTGGGCTCGGAATACTAGTTTAAAACATGATACTTGATTTTGTCGAAACGTTGTGAATTTCGACACAACTCCTTCACGTCGTCGAGTGCAATTTCGACAAACTCCTTACAGTGTATTCTCCATAGTTTTTAAAACTGTTTACTGTTATTTTAACTGTGTTATATCTTTCTGAGCCTTTTCTGTGTGCCTTTACATATCGTATACATATTTTGATTGATTATATATTATTTTATATAATAATATATTATTTCTCTGTTTATATTGAACATTCATTATGTTTTACTGATATAAAGCATATTAACGTCATTTGTAATTATATTATACCAGTCTGTTTCTTATGGGAAATTAATTACCTAGTGTGAGCTTATGTAATATTCACGCATCGCTATGCCTCAACAATCAGTTTCGTTTACGGATGACCCAGTGAATGACAACTTTGATCCTACTGCATTGCTTGCAACTGATAACAATTATAGTGACAAAGTTAATTTGTTATACGATCATATTCGTGCCATTGCAACTCTCTATCGAGGAGGAAAGTATACACTTCCTTTCGAACCACGAGAAAAATTGCTCCATTCATTGGATGCGTTACGGCAATTGGCTCTTCAGGGCCCGGATTACATCCCGAAACCAGCCACAGTTGAGGCTGAGGTGAATACATCAACAGTGGTCTGCTGTGAAGTTATTCATAACCCACCTATTATTTCATCTCTGCAGCAAGTTCCTTTAGTTCCAAATCCCCCTGCTTTGCCTTCTCCAGCTCCTGGACACTCTTACGCATCTGCATTACAGCAATCCCTTCCGTCAGTTCTTACACCTACTTTACTAATATATCCAAAAGAGAACACAACTAGCAGGAAGCTTAGAGATAAACTTTCCCAGGAATTTCCTTTGCCGAAACTTGGAGTCCAAGTTAAACGGATCAAACCTATCCAACGGGGTGGATTGGCGGTGGTCTGCCAGTCAGAAGAAGATCGGAAAAAATTAGCAGCTACTTTAACGTCTGATCACGCAGCTACATTTGTTAACGTAAAGAATCCCACAACAAAAAAACCCCTTATTGCAATTCATAATTTATCCCCAGATCTGACACAGGAGGATTTACAGCTTACCATACAAGAAGACTTTGGCCTCACTAGTGACGAAGTTAAACTTATATTTCGTCTAAAGCAGCGACGCAATGTCAAGTGGGTTGCCGAGTGCAGCCCAAGGGCATATCAAACAATCAAACCTTCATGTGCAACCCTCGCATCTACATCGGCTGGCAAGGCCACCTTATCACTGATCACTTTAATGTCAAAGATGTTTCAAGTGCCAACGTTTTGGGCACCTGCAAAAAGACTGCCGCAGCGTCCACTATTGCGCATTGTGTGCTGGACAACACGATACCAAGGACTGTTCGGCCGATGCCGATACAGCAGCATGCATCAATTGCATCGATTATAACAACGGCAGCAGATATCAAGTCCCGATTGACCACGCAGCAAACTCCAACACCTGTTACTGCTACCAAAGTAATATTGACAGAATCCGAAGCATCACCACCTATGAGTAGAGATGCCCAGTATAATGTTTCATGTAATTCTGTTCCTAACATCAAATTCTTGCAAATTAATCTTCAGAAAGCTCAAGTTGCAACTGCCCAGGCAATAGAGTTTGCGTTAAGCAACAAAATTGATTTTCTTCTCGTTCAAGAGCCATATACTAGACATGGCAAAGTGGTTGGTTTTCCTTATTATGGACTGTATATCATCAAGAAAATTCAGAAGATTCCTCCACGCTCAGCAATAATTAATTGTAACCCTCAATTCTCTCCATCAATTATTACTATTACTAAAGATCAAGTAGCACTTTTATTAGAATTAGAAAATTTTACTATAGCATTATTTTCGATCTACTCCAGTCCCTCAGATGATATCAGCACTACAATCTCTTTCCTGGAACACTATACAAGAGTTCTTGGTAATAAACATCAGATTATCAGCGGCGATTTTAACGCTCACTCTGTTGCTTGGGGCTATCGAACAACAGACCCCAAAGGCCGTCTGTTAGAAGACTTCTTATCTTCTAAAAATTATGTATTACTCAATGCCACGAATACAATTCCTACTTTCGACAGACTATATGCTGTGGGTTGGCCGGACCTGACCTTTACATCCGCCAATACCTCTCACTTAACAAGTAATTGGACGGTCAGAGATGAGATTTCATTATCTGACCATAAATATATCACTTTTGAAGTAACACAACATAGTTCTTTACCTATCTTACCTCGTTATAATCTTCCTGGCAGGAAAATTAATCAGTTTAGTCGAAAAGTTCGTGGAACTCTTAATCGTCTTCGTCACCAAATCAACTCTTTAACCATATCTGAAGATATTGAACGTTTTTCAGAGTCCTTAATGCAAAATCTTCAAGATATTTGTCACGAAATACTTCCAAAGCGAACTACCAAGCAGCTCCATACTTTACATTGGTGGAACTCTGATCTTCGCATACAGCAGCGGAAGTGTCGTGCGCTTAGGCGACGATTAAAATCTGAACGACGCAATGGAATAACATCTAATACTCTTCAAGTTTTTCAAAGAGAGAGCGTGCTCTGTATAAACGGATGATTATGCAGAGCAAAATAGAAGCTTGGAGAAAATACTGCACATCAAATAGAGAAATATTTGGCTTACCCTATAAGATCGCTCGAGATAAGCTTTTCCAGCCTGCATCAACGTATCTTTCAGAATCATCACTTGCTGGGTCTAGCCCAATAGAAAATACTATTAATGATATTCTAGCATCAGTTCTTCCTCAGGATGATATTACAGATGACTCCCCAGAGCACTTGTCAATTAGGCAGCAAACTTCTATTCCTAACACAGAGGATGATCCACAGATTACAATTACAGAAATTAAAACCACTCTTCGAAGTATTCCAAAAAAACGGGCCCCAGGCCCCGACGGGATTGACTATTCTATTATTCGTGTAATCATTAATTCCCACATCTTCTTTTTCTGTGATTATTTTAATAAGTTATTTCTTAATGGTGTATTTCCTCGTATCTTCAAAGCTGGAAGAGTGGTTCTTTTTCTCAAAAAAGGCAAAGATCCGCAATTATCCACATCTCATCGACCTATATGTCTATTATCTGCTCTGGGGAAAGTTTATGAAAGAATTATTGTCTACCGTTTAAAACATTATCTTCACAAAATTCACTTTTTAAGTGATCACCAATATGGCTTTAGACCAGGTAGGTCTACCCTACAAGTATTATCAAAAATTACAGAAGATATACATCGTAATCGCAACAATGGTCACCACAGTGCTTTCATCAGTATAGATCTTAAGAATGCTTTTGACTCACTGTGGTGGCCTGCAATACTGGAGGCACTTCGACAAGCTGATTGTCCTCAGAATTTATTTCTTGCATTTCAAAGTTACTTGTCGGAAAGAAAAATTATCTACTCCACTAATCATGGCATTATTACAAGACAACAAAACAGAGGCTGTCCGCAGGGTTCTTGTGCTGGCCCTGATTTATGGAATATAACATTTAATTCTGTTATTGCCGCGCAAACTGGCCAGCACACATACCCGGGCATATGCGTATGCAGATGATACAGTTTTTATCATTCAAGGACGAACTCGAGAAGAGTTGCAAAGAAATGCTATTGAAACCTGTGATCTCTTTTATAACTTATGTTCTAGAATTAAATTAACAATTTCCGAACCAAAATCGCAAATTTTATTAATCCCTAAAAAAGGAGGATCTTTGGTTCGACGGCCTCGAATCACCATTCATGGTACACGTATACCTATCAAACCGCAGCTCAAATTTCTCGGCGTTATCTTTGACGAGAAACTGAACTGGATGCCGCATGTTTTGGAACTAAAGAGACGAACTGTTATAATTGCATGTAAATTGCGTCAAATGCAGGGTCGTGGATGGGGAATTAGTCCCTATATACAAAAGGTTCTTTATCTCACCGTTATCGAGAGAATGGTCACCTATGCGGCTGCTATATGGGCTGAACCCATGCAGGGTCGCAAAGTGCGCCACTTGCAAAGTCTCCAGCGTCAATTTGCCTTACAGATAACTAGGGCGTTTCGTACTACCTCATCCAGTGCATTAAATGTCATGGCGGGACTGATCCCTCTTCATCTACGTATTCTGCAGGAAAGCAGCAATACAATCCGTCAAGGTTTTGAAAAAACCTTTCATCCTATTTGATGAACTTTTCACACCATTGCACTATGAACAACCCTCACAACATTTGGATGTGCATCCAGTCCTTCAAGGAACAGGACTTCGGATTTTCCTTAAGGACGTAACACTGCCACCTATCCCAAGCATTCAATATTACACTGATGGATCTAAAATAGATCAACAGACAGGCTGTGCCCTTGTAGCCTTTCATAATGGTCAGTCAATTTATCAGTGGCTGGGTCATCTCCATGGAAATAATAGTGTATTTCAAGCGGAGGCCCTAGCCATCCTCAAAGCAGTTCAACACTGTAAAACAAGTGGTGCTATGGAGGCAATAATTATCACTGATAGTCTTTCGTCGCTTCAAGCGATTCAAAACCCCAGACATTCTTCTTCGCTTATCTCGGACATCCAATGTGAACTTCGTAATCAAGTGGGAAATAACATCACGCTAGCTTGGACTAAGGGCCATGCTGGGGATCACGGTAATACTTTGGCAGATAAGTTAGCCAAATCAGCTGCCGAAAATACCGATGCCGAGGCTGAAGAAGTGATTCTTAAGTGGCCAACATCTCACTTAAAACGAGCTCTTCTTTTAAAAGTTATATCCCAATGGCAACTAGAATGGGATACTGATGAAACTGGTCGACGAACGTACAATCATATTACGTATGTGGATCAATGTCGTCAGATAACAAATCATCAACTAGTAAGATATATTTCGGGGCATGGTCCATTTCCAAGCTACTTTTACAAGCATGGAATTGCAAATAGTGAATATTGTGTCTGCGGAACTCTAGGCATACCTGAACATTATATTACTACATGCCCGTTAACGGAGGAATTTCACATTCCTTTCCCTGTGGATAATCAACTAGCATTTAGTAAATTTTTAATTAAGCAGAAGTACCTTATCAGAAAACTCTCAAAAATTATGGACATTCTCCACAGTTATGGATCTGATCTATGTCAGGTTGTCTAATGTTAATGGTTTTTTCCTGTTTTCATAATACAACGGTATTCTTGTACACTCCATTTGCATTCTTGTCTGTTTACATAGTGTTTTCATAATACAATTGTATTTTTGTACACTCCAGTTGCATTCTTGTCTATTTACATATTATAACTATATTCTTTCTTTTTAATAGTCCCAGTATTGTTACAAATATTATTAAAAATTGTATTGTATTTTAAATGCACTATAAGATATTGCACAATAAGTATTATACTCGCAACCTCAAACTATACATATGGTATTACTATCTTACTGAATTACAAGCTACATATTAAGTATTCTAATCTGGTTATATATCAAAAATATTGTATCGAGCATTGTAATAACTATTGTATCAAACTATTAGCATTGTATCATATTTCATTATAATTACAATATACAATATTTGCACTCTAAGTACTGCATTATTCTAACTAGTCTATTAACTTAATTTACTTATTATTTTAATTCTTGCATTAATTATTGTATTAAGTTGGTAGTTATGTAATATTATGTTGAGTTATAAGCTCTACCCTAAGCTCTACCCTAAGAATAGGTGATGCAACATATTGAAATTATGAACATCGTATCGCTATGTATGCTTTAGTATGGAACTGTAAATTAAATTCTTTGCAATACAGAAACTGGATTATTAGCATAACGTTATAAGTAGTCTTGATTCAACTTGGCGTTAACTATTTTATTGAATTACATGCAGAATTTTAGACTTTAGATTTTAGATTTAGTTTATTGATTATATTGAATTATATGTCGTGTTTTTGCATATTGCACAGAATATTAATATTGAATTGATCATAAGTATTTTTTATACATTATATTGGTATAACTATATTGTTGCATTGTATCGCATATTGCACAGAATTAATAATATTGAATTGATCATAGGTATTTTTATACATTGCATTTGTATATATATACTGTTGCAAAATATGTCTTTTTATCCTCAGTATTGTACTGAAGTGTTGCTTTTGTGTATTGTATATAAAGTATTGCATTTAATTCGCTTTAGTTATTAAGAACATTGCCTTATAGGCATCATACTATTAAGAATATATATATTGCACTTCTTTTTATACCCTGAGATACGTATTGAATTAAATATTGTATTAATTATTTTACTGAACTAGCAATTGTGTTAAAATACTGTATGAAAGTTAAAGTAGTATTTTGGTCTCTTTTGCTTTAAATATTCCATTAAATTATAAATAGTATCATAGACGTAGCTTATCGATTTTATACTGTATCATATGTCTTGTATTGCATATTGCATAGAATTATTACCAATTACTTGACAATATGTATTTTTCTACATTGCATTTGTCTATATACTGTCACATACTCTATTTATTTACTCTTAGTATTGTATTGTACCTATTGTTGTGTCTTGTATGCTAACCCTGTAAGCATGTTAATTTACCTATTGTATCACATATCTTACGTATTTGCAGTACATTATATTATATCGTATAACCGTATTGTATAATATATATAAATTGTGAGCTATGTATGGATGTGTATCATCTTATATGAAATTGCAATGTTGTGAGCATCGTATACATAATAAAATTGCACTATAAGTCCCCTGCAATACAGGAAATGTGTAGTTGGTATCGTAATATAAATAATGTATCATTAATTTTGCATTAACTTTTGTAATTGAATGATATAGCATCCATTATCTTACGTATTAGTTGTAAATATATTGTACTGTATAATGTATTATATAATATATACATTAAATTGTGAGCATAGTATAGATATGTATCATCTTGTATAAAATTGAATTATAAGTTCCCTGCAATACAGTACTGTGTAATATATATTAAATTGTGAGCATCGTATAGATATGCGTCGTATAAAATTGCACTAATATAGGAAATATACAGTTGGTATAGTAATATAAATAGTGTTTTATTAACTTTGCATTAACTATTGTATTGAACAATATGGCTTATTGATCTTATATTGAATTATCTATCTTGTCTTGCATCTCGTACAGAATCATTAGTATCGTTTTACCTTGTATTAGTATATATCTGTATATGTGTATGTATGTATATATGTGTGTATGCGTGTATATATAGTTGTATAATGTATCCTCTTTACCTTGCATTGTATATAGTTGCATAATGTATTTATGTATTGTATCCTTGCTTTGTACACTAACTATTGTATTGAACTTACCATCAGTATTAAGATCATTACATCATCGATATCATACTATCAGCATTATTATCAGCCTAGTATGTAGCAGCAGTAGCAGTTTTGTAATATTTAGCATTGTATCAGTTTGTAGTACTGTTTGTAAGTATTCTAATAGTAGTTTTGTAGTATTGTAGTATGTAGCAGTAGTAGTTTTGTAATGGTGTTTACTCCTTTGGTTTTCTATTGTTATCGCTATCTGTATGTGTTTTGTTGTAATTATGTCTATGTGATTCTAGTATTTATTCAAAACTGGCACTTGCACCTTTGTAATCTTATGCTTTGTCAAAACTTCAAATGTACCCTTTATTTATCTTTTTTTTTTTTTGAGCCCTTGTCTGGCCATGTATTTGTTGAACTTTGAATCAATAAATATGAACATGCTTCTGGGGGCTTCTTTGGTCTTTTGGACTGCCACCTGGATGGCCTGGTCGCTGGGTTTCGGTGTATGGTGCGAGGCGCCTGTGTGGTCCATCTGGCTCAAGATAGAGGTGGACGTATTGCATATGCCAATTAACCATTACGGTAAAGGGATGGTGCACACGTCCCCCGTCAACTATCAACTATCATCCAGCTACTGAAAAGGCTTCATGATCTATTTGGATTTTTCTCATAATGAGGACAACGACCTTATCAATGAGTAGGATAATATGCAAAAGCTCTATTCGCATTCCATCTTTGATGAAATTAAAAATGTCCTGAATGATTTAAAATGGAAGAGATATATTCCAGTATAGCATTTAAAACTGAGCAAATAAAGCTACCTCCGATTAACACAGATTTTGAATAAAATACTATCGATTTCGACAGCATTTTTTTTTTTTTTTTTTTTTTTTTTTTTTTTTTTTTTTTTTTTTTTTGAAGAAGAGTGACTAATACCTGATCTTCTTTGGAAAATTGTTACATTAAAAATTTAATGATGCATCCTTAACCCCTTAACTGCCGCGGGCGTATATATACGCCTTGCTCAGCCGATGCGTTAACTGCCCCAGGCGTAATATACGTCCTTCCAAACTGCTAGCATTTGCTTTGCGCTGCTACACCTAAAATTATTCGCAAAGTTAACGCATCGGCTGCGCATCTGGGCGCATCTGGGGGGCAGTTAACGCATCGGCTGAGCAAGGCGTATACGCCCGCGGCAGTTAAGGGGTTAACTTATCTTGGAAGTCACAAATGGTTGTATAGGACGCAGATTTGTTCCATCTTTCTCAACAGAAGTCTTGTCTTTGCAATGGGACTTGATGCGAAAAGGGTCTCTGTGGACAAGAAAACATCTTGAGATTAAAAACCTTGACACTTGTTACATATATTATAGAAGGTGATTCCTATTTTTTAAAAAGCTATTAACACTTTGGAACATATTCCCTCTACATACTTGATAACGACAAATTAGCTAGTTTACCCTTGGAATGCAAGAATTGTAGATAAAAAATAATCCAGATGATATATTGTCAAAGCAACCAAATATCTAATGCAAAAAGACTGAAAATTTAACGTCGAATTATTGCTTTCCTCGGAGTTAATCAAAATGCTACAATTTTTCATCCATTTTCCTTAGTTTATGATTTAATTCGATAATTTGACGAAAGAAATGTATGATTAAATTCCGCGTAACAAATGTCATAACATGATTATAGGATAGTACATACAACCGTATAATAAAAAAGCCAAGCAAAATACTTATATTAAAAAGGAAAACACAAAGCTGAAAATTTTTGTACCACGACTTTCTGGTGTTTAAACTGCGCTGTAATACTGCCTGAAGATTGTTATATTAAAAAACAGAAAGTTATGACAGAAAAAATCTATTCTCAATATCTATGTTTTTTATAAAAAAGATGAAAGGTTTTTTTTTTTTTCTTGTTCATGAGATAAATTTTTGAGTAGCATCGATTATTTACGCTGACAAGAAATGATCTCTTTCAAATGCTTGCCGGAGCGTTTCTGCTCTGACATCAAGGCGTACGTGCTCAGCCTGAAACAAAACTATTCCTGGGGGCATATTTTCCATACCGTTATCTTGTTCCATATCCGAAAAGAAATTCAGAAAACGCATCGATTTGTGCAATTCAATCCTGTAAACGTGTTAACATTAAAGGTACTGAGGGAGAAGGAAAAAATAAAAAGACAATCCTCTAACTTTTTTTTGTATTTCCCGTCTGACAAAAAAGAATAACAGGAATAAATTTAAGTCATTTTCATTTCTTTTGTACACGAGAGACAAGAAATAATCCAAAAACGTTAGTTATGAAATCAATGTTTTTTCTTGCTACTGGCCTTTGATGAAATATACAATATTCAAATGATTTCAAACATTTTCTTTATATGAAGCTGTACTTTGAATAGCATGCGTGGGCGAAATATTTAATGAATTTAATGAATAAAAAAATGTTGTTCTGGGAAGTCGAAATTTGCAGACGATAAAAATGGGCAAATAATTTAATAGTAAAATCTGTGAGAATTATTGTCTTGCACAAACACCTGGCAAAATTTTGAATTATACCTAATTATATCGATAAGTATAAAAGACTTTAAAGACGGCGAACTTAAATTAGCATGTTAGTCAAATTCTTAAGAATTTATGTAAAGCAAAATTTCATATATGTTTATTATTAAAAGGAAAAATAAAATCATTTGAAATATTTTGAGGACATATACAAACAAACTTCAATTATAACTTAAATGATCTATGAAACTTTGAACTTTAAATGGTAAGAAAATAAAAATTTACTAAATTACTTTATTTAACTTTTCTACGAAATGATTGGTAAATTTTGCTGTTCTTGAAATTAACAGTACTTTAAATGGTTTGCATAATGCATATGACATTTAGGTTATTGAATATGTATGATCTTTCAGGGCAAAAGAAAAATGGCCGAACAGCATTTATAATGATGTCTACAAGACTTGTTATCACAGTTAATGTTATACACATAACAGAATGAAATCTTTATGCTATTATCCCTAAATTTCCTTATCACCTTATGAGAAACGTAAAACATTTTGTAACTTTAAACAAGTAGTTACCAGTAATACTTTAATTACAAGTGGTTAAACGTAACATTTAGTTCATAGATATATTTTGTTTACACTTCAAAATAATATAAATTCCGAAGTTATTGTCCCGAGAGTTATCATCTACAAAGTTACAATAAATGTCATGATATGTCAAAATATATTTTTAAAAATTAAATATTAAATAAATATGATAAATTTTTAGTCTTTGTGCATTACATATTTAATTGCTTTACATTTAGTTAATATATAAGAAGAAATTTTTTTTAAGAAGAAATTTTGTAGAATATGTTTGTCTTACATCATTGTGTCAGAGTGAATTCAAACATGTTATATCTGGCAACTATTTTTCTATTTAAAGTAGTTAATGTTTATTCTATAAAAACTCTCTTAATAATTAGGGTCAATGCGTATTTTAATAGTAATTTTTCGGTATAATAATTACAGAAAACTTAGTGTTTCGGGGAATTTTCCTGTTGAAATTCAGGTTATTATTAATAAGACTTTGCAAGAGCTTGATATTGACATTCATTTTACTTACGTTCGTGGCGACTGTGGGAATTTTGGAAATAAAAGAGCTGATGCGAATGAAGAGCAGCGCCAGCCGGGGTACTTCACATTGATTTAAATCTCTGTGTTATTGTTTCTCTTTTGAAGCGTTTTTCATAGAAATGATATTATCTGTATCTGGAACAGATAATATCTGGCCTCACCAAAATCACAGTGGACCAAAGGGAATTTTCCTACAATTTTTCATAGGATAAAAGGTGATCAGTTTACGACAGATTTTAAATTAGCCCAATTTTTGACTATACATGGCAATTTTAAAAGCCATTTAAAGAGATCTGGACTTCCCTCAAATGCTTTGTGCAGCTGCAATGTCGGCGATTGAGGATGTCAAGCGTATTCTTCTTGAGTGTATTCATCATGACCGGCAGAGGAAGATACCTCAGTCAACTTTGAAACACCTGTCTGTATCTTGACCACCCATGTTCACTGAACTTTTTCAGACTAAAGAAACAATTTCCACTTCTCGAAAATTAATTTTACATTATTGCCTTATCATTATTTTATTAGCCCAAATAAGCGTTAGCGCAGAAGCTATTAGTCTCGAAATGGGATTTGCGTTGAATCACTGTAAAAGTCTGAATTATTTCTCAGATTTTTGCCATCAAGTATTATCACCCAGAATTATCTCAAAAGAAATTAAATAAAGGAGAATATGCATGAATGTAGGTACGATTCTCGCATTGTGAAAAAACGACGGGACGTAAAGGTATCATATTTTGAATAACGTAATCCTCCACCCAAATATGGGTAAAGCCTGAATTTTGAATTTTTAACTTCTTTTGTTAGCTATTGTATATTTTGTAAAACTTTTTCGAAATTTCTAATTAACAAACTCAAGAATCTCAAAGCGAGCCATAGCAACACTGTGCAAAAAAAAACATTTTAAACTCCATCGCGTGAGTCTATCAGAAATTCTAAATATATGATGTTTTCAAATATTTTGTGATATTGCTATTGAATTGAATTGTGTGGTTTAAGTGCGAATAACATGATATTTGATAAATAAAGTAACACACAAAACGTTAAAAGAACGCCCATTTGGCCATCAAATTTTCTGAAAGCTTTCAGATTTTTTCCTTGCTTATATTTTTATTTTACTTTTTTCTTATTATATTCATTATTTTAATTTGTTTTTTGTTTTAATATTTTTTTCCCATTTGCATTGCTATTGTGCATTTTTTTATTTCGTTAGTTGTACAACTTGCTTGTGTAAGCTCTGCGGTTTTCTTTATGGAGCACGAGGAATTAAAATTAGATTCCCCCCCCCAAAAAAAAACTAAATAAATAAATAACTAAAAATAAAAAAACTTCCAGATTTTATATTACGCCCAAAACGTCGTTTTTTTAACGTTCTATGCATTTTTATTTATTAAATATCATGTTCTTCCCACTTGAATCCTAAAATTCAATTCAAGAGTAATATCACAAAATATTTGAAGGAGCATATCTTTAGGACTTCCGATACACAGTCTGGCGAGCTGGAGCTAAAAATGTTTTTTTTTCGTACAGTGTTGCCATTGCTCGCTTTTAAGTCGTTGAGTTTCTTAATCAAAAACTCATACATGCTTTACAAAATATGAAACTGGTAATAAAACAAATTCCAAATTCGAAGTTTGGGCTTCCAGATGCCCATATTCGGGTACAGACTACGTTATTCAAAATTTGATGGCTCTAGGTACCGTTGTCTTATCACAGTAAGAGAAATATACATACATTTATGTAGATTCTTCATTATTTAATTTCTTTAAATATAATGCAGGGCACTAACATTTGTTGACAACAATTTAAAAAGTGATTGGCCGTTTACAGTGAATCAACGCAAAATGCCAAAATGAAATTAATAGCCCAACTAGAGGCAAACTGTCTCTTTGGGCTAATAAATAAATAAAAATAAATATAAAAATCAGGAAATATTAGCATGCTAAGTTTAAAATTGAATAACAAAACTGCCATTTTTGCCACTCTTTCAGCAAAGCTTAAACGAACATTCCTCTATTAGACGAATTTACCGTCTATCTCATTTGACATCTGTTTACTATTTCGTTCTTCGTATTGCTTTTCATAAATATTTTGTTCACCGCTAGTTTAGTGCAAGATACTTCTTTTTTTATTTCATCAAAATTCAGAATCCGCTTTGGTATATTGCCAATTCGTTTTAAAAATCAAGTTTTAGTTTGGGTTTTTCTGGCAGTGCTTACATTAATACTTTTTCTGAAGATTTTAATATGTATTTTAAAACTGAAAGTAAATGAACTTTCTTTTCATGTTCATAAAACATATCATGTGTTGTATAAAATATCTCTATATTGAACACTTTGAATGTCACTTAAAACTGAAATGAAGTGCTATAAAAAGGTAGACCTCATGGATTTTGCCTAAATTAAATAATCTATTCATGTCCTGACTGAAATATAATTTAAGAGTCTTTCAGCCTCATTATTTCTTCATAAAGCTCTCCATTTTTCATAAAACCCATAAATGACAAACTAATTCTTAAATTAAGGAATAATCTGCATAAGTCGTACCGGCTTTTCTGCTTGGGAAACAATTCGGCCCTTTTCACTTGAAACAGCCACCCGTATGTTTTATTCAGGATTATTTTGTGAAATTTCAATATCATTATAATCGTATTTTTGTTATAGTTCATACGTCCACATAAATGACCAGGTCCAGGTAAAATACTTCCTAGCACTTAAAATACATCTGTAGAATTGGTTTTATACTTTGATAAAAAGTCCAATACTTCTTCGAAAATTCTGGCATTTATTATTTGCTTTTAATGTGCCAGCAATTTCTGTTCTACACAAAATAATTATTACAAAGCTCTTAAATTAATTGTTTTTACAAAGATGCTTTTCGTTGTTTTCATATAAGTCACGAAATCGATTTTTTCATTATTAAGCGATATGACTTCTGTCTTGCGGAGTTTAGATGAGAAAGCTACGGTAGCAATTATTGTCAAAAGAGCTGTAAAAGACATGTTTTTTCGTAAGATTCTTAAAAGTTTAGATTGTTAACATAACATTTTAAGGAACAAACTCCGTCTGTATCTTGAAAGATGAGGCGATTAAGAGACTCGTTTACTTCTCATATTACTTTAAGAATAACTTTACGTCGGTTACAGTTAAGAACCAGAAAGACATTTCATTATTTGTCGTAATATTAAGAATAACAGTCATTTACTGTTTCCTTTAAACTTAACTAAAGCATTTCTTCACATTTAAGGAAATGTTGAAATACTAACGATGTGTAACATATTATTCTAGCAATGCACTCAATTTTCTGTAAGTTAGATCATTAGTATCCGAATATCTATAACTTAACTATAACCTTAACTAGCTTTACGCTGTGTTTTCTTTTAATCGTGTAAAATAAGTAAACAATAAGTTTAAGTAAAATCATTATTAATCAATAATCCAGTGAAGGATGCATTTAAACGCCTAGAAACGAGATTTCGAGAATTTTATTTCTACTGAGTCGAAACTGATGAGTTAATGTACTTTACTAAAATAAATATTCCAATCAAACAGAGAGTTTAGCCATGGGAACAGCTCTTAAACCTTTCCTTGGTGATATCTATGTGCAATGTTATGAATCAAAATTACTTGAAATTTTAAACTGCTATTGTGTAGTTCCGCAACGTTGACTATTCCTTTAACCTGTCTAACGCTAGTAAAAGTAATTTTAAAAAAGTTCTTTCAATAACTCTAGTAAAGGTAATTTACAAACCGTTCTTTCAGTAATGGATTCCACAGTTCCTGTTATTCATTTCTTTTTTGAACTTGAGACGTACAGTTTTCTTCTGTTTCTCGATATCATAGTCAGGGAATGAGACTATTCGCCACGGCCATTTCACCGTGGCCGCTTCGACGTCGGACCGATTCGCCATCGGGAAATTTCGCCATCAAAACATATTTTTCTTTACACGACTGTATTACATCTTATCGTATTATGTTAAGTTGATTTAAATTAATAACTCCGTTTAGTTTAATAATTTAATTTAATTTTTGTGCGCAGTTTTATACAATTACACCGTTACACTTGACATATTAATTTTAAGAGAATAAGGTGCTGACAAGATTCCAAAGTAATTTCGTTTTCCATTCAGATTTCATAAAAACGTGAATTTCTTGCTTGTATGAGTGATTTCTCTGATCTAACCGTTTAAAATTTCAAGAAAGTTTGACGAATCATGTAAATATTGTACTCGCATAATTTTAAAATCGATGCTATAATTTCTGTTATATCAGAAGTTCGGGTCCAGTTCACTTTGACTAACATAATTTTCCAACTATGTGTAATTTCTTTATATCTCATACTTGTAAATAACTATACATTAAAAGCAACCTTTATTAAGTGT